ACATAGCCCACACTACCCCCCGTGTCGATGCCCGACACATAGCCCAGACCCGTTCGGCAGCGATAAAATTAATGTGCGGGCGCCTAAGCTTCACCAGATCATCACGGCGGGTGCCTGCGCTTAGTCCAACTCCGTCGCAGTGTCCCCTCTCGCCACCTCCTTCTTGGCCCGTTCAGGAAATAAAGAGGGCGGGGAAAAGGATACTGGGAAGCCAAGAGGCCCAGTGCAGCTGCCAAGGGTCCGTTGCTAAGGCGCGTCATACGCCTCGCACACCACCTTGTGGGGGAAAGGAGGGCGAGAAGAGGGGGAAAAGAAGGCGAGGAGAGGGCGAAAGGATGGCGAGAAGAAGGGGAAAGGATGGCGAGGAGAGGGGGAAAGGATGGCGAGGAGAGGGGGAAAGGATGTCCGGGAGAGGGGGAAAGGATGGCGAGGAGAGGGGGAAAGGATGACGAGGAGAGGGGGAAAGGATGGTGAGAGGACGACGACACCAGCAGGAGAGGGTGAGGGAAGGCATATGAGGGGTGGGGAGATGCGGATGTTAGGGTGAGGGGAGGGAGATGAGAGGGCGAAAATATGTGGAAAAGAGGGGGAGGAAAGGGTTAACCAAGGGAGGGTGGGTGTGGGAGAGGGTGATGAAGGACTGAATTGAGGGCGTGGAGAGGAGATACGGGTGAGGAGATTCGGAGCCAGGCGCGAGTAGAGAGGGAGGAGAGTGCTTAGAGAGAGGGGGAAGAGGACAAGGGTGGGGGTACCTGAGGGCGAGGAGAGGTGTGGGAGAGGGTGATGGAAGGCGGATGAGAGGGTAGGGAGAAGGGGGTTTGAGAACGAGCATTGGTGGTTAGGAGGGCCACGCCATTCTTTTGCCCCATCTCTCCATTCCAAGCCCCATCCCTCTTGCCCCTTTTATCCAAAATCTCACCTAATCCTGATTCACTTTTCCCTCCACTCTCTCCTGCCCATCCATTCTTCCCACTTTCTGCTGTCCCCTTGCTCTCTGCTGTCCCCCTGCTCTCTCCTGTCCCCCTGCTGCCCCCTTGCTCTCTGCTGTCCCCCTGCTGCCCCCCTGCTCTCTGTTGTCCCCTTGTTGTCCCTCTGCTCTCGCTGTCCCCTTGCTGCCCCCCTCCACTCTGCTGTCCCCCCATTCTCTCCTGTTCCATGTCCCCTTGTCATCGATGCAAAGACTTCCTTTCTCTACCTCGCTCCCCATTTCTAAGGCCGTTCGCTGTTTGCTACGCCGCTCACCAGCTTAACCTGTGGCCGCACTCATAGCGGCCGCAGGTTTCGCCGACCCTTCTCTGGACCGGATTCCCTGGTGACGCGTCTGCGTTCCACGTCTGGGGCTGCCTTGCTCACGTTCATGCCTCTGGCACGGACAAGCTCACTGCCCGCACTGCCCCTTGTGCCTGCCTTGGCTTCCGTCTCGACGCGTCTGACTAGCACTTTTACCACCCAACGTCTCATCGCTTCTTTCACTCGCGTGACATCACTTTTGATGAGTTTGTCTCCTTCTACCACCACTTTCCCCACCGAGGCCTCCCGGTTTCCCCGCCACTATTTTTGGTTCCAACTCCCCCGGTAGCCCCTGCTCCTCTCCCTCCCCGTCTTGCCCCGTCTGGTGTGTCTCATGTCACCCCCCTCCCGTCGGCTGTCCCGGCCGAGGAGTTGGCTGACTCTGGTGGCCCCGCGGTGCCGTTCTCGCCGCCTATCTCCGCCCCGGTGTCTCCTCCTCCGTGTCGCTGCAGCAGCAGCCGTCGCTGTCGTTGCAGCCGCAGCAGCAGCCGCAGTCGCCACCGATGCAGCAGCAGCCGCTGCAGGGTTCCGCGAGCTCTGGGGGTGCGGGCGTTGAGCAGGGTGCTAGTCCTGGGATTACTATCGTGGCTTGTCCCGATGGTCCTGGGGGTGGCACCGGTATTGGGGAGGGTTCTCGTTCTCAGGGAGCTAATTCGGGATGTGCTAGTCTTAGGATTATTGTCGTGGCTTATCCCGGCGGTCCTGGGGTTGGCATTGGTGCTGGAGAGGGTTCTCGTTCTTTGGGTGTTGGCGTGGAGAATCTCGGAGGTAGCTATGGGGAAGCTGGAGGTTCTTGTGTCGGCGTAAAGCAGCAGCAGCAGCAGCAGCAGTCGTCGCCAGTGTCCGCCCTTCGCCTCCTCGGTCTTCCTTCCCCCGACCGCCCGCCTGCGCCTCCTCCGCCGCTGCCTCCCCTGCCTATCTTCGGCCCTGTGTCTCCTCCGTCGGACTCTTCTCCAACTCGTTTCCCCCCTCGTTCTCCTCCTGTGTCTCCTGCTGTATCTCCTGCTGTGTCTCCTGATCCGACGCCTCCGTCCCACTTCCGGTCTCGCCGTCCCTCTCGTGCTCGTCTTGCCTCTCCAATTCAGCATTCCCACCCTATGTTGCTTCGTTCCCACGCGTCTCATCCTCCCCTCCTCACTTAGCTTCCTCCATCATTGTTTGTTGTCGCTCTGCCTCCTCTGTCTGACTTCCTTAGTGCCGCTAGCCCTCTAAATCCTCAGGTCCTCGCCACCCTCGTTACCGACCTGTCCGTTCCTGTCTCCAGTCTTGACGCTCTTGTCGCTTCCGTCGCTGACTTTGCCTCTACCCACCACCTTGACTATGCCACCGCTCTGGTCTCTGGCCCTGCCCTTCCTCCGTCCGTCGAGGGTGCTGCTGCCCTTGGTATTGACGTTCTTATCCGAGGCCGTGCCTCATCTCTGCTCCATGCTGCTAGTCCCTTAGGGTGAACCAGACGCCTTCGATATCCCGACCCTTCGCACTTACGTTAAGGCGGTCTCGGAATCCTGGGCCTCCCAGTGGATAGCTGAAAGGACGCGGAGATGACATCTTGGAGATCCACCGGCACCTATGTTGGTGCAGTTCCCCCACCTGGGGTGAACGTAGTCGATGGCCGGTGGCTCTTCAAGATGAAGCGCCTGCCTGAAGAGCCGCCGGTTTTCAAGTCGCGCTACGTCGTGAGAGGCTTCAGTCAGTGTAAGGGTGTTGACTTCTTTCAGACCTTCGCTCTGACCCCGAAGATGACTACTCTTTGGGCGTTGCTACAAGTAGCAGCACAGCGTGACTACGAGCTGCACTCTCTCGACTTCTCGACAGCATTCCTTCAGGGCAGTCTGCACGAGCAGGTCTACCTGCGCCGCCCGCCAGGCTTCATCGGGACCTTTGCCCCGGGGACCTAGTGGCTCCTTCGGTGCCCGATTTATGGCTTGCGACAGGCGCCCCGCAAGTGGCACGACACGCTGCATGCTACGTTAGCTGACCTACAGTTCTTTCTCGTCCTCTGCAGACCCTTCGCTCTTCATTCGCTCAGGCCAGTTTCCGTTCTACATCCTTGTCTATGTAGACGATCTGGTCTTCGTTACTACAGACAGAGATGCACTGGCCTCCGTGAAGGTTGAGCTGCTGAGGAGACACTTGTGCACTAACCTAGGAGAGCTGCGCCGGTACCTTGGCCTACAGATCTCCAGGGACAGAGCAGCGTGCACCATCACTCTCACACAGTCACACTCGGTGCGCCAGGTCCTTCAGAGGTTCGGTCTTCAGTTCTCCTCCGCACAGCCCACACCTCTGCTGGTAGACCACAGGCTCTCGGCTCTAGTCCCTGACGAGTCGGTAGATCCTAGTGGTCCGTACGCTGAGGTGGTGGGTTGCTCTCATGTACCTGCTGTTATGTTAAAGTACTAGTGAATGAGAGGAGCCATGAAATTGGCGAAAGGTTTTAGGAGCTAGGAAAAATTTTTGAGAGAGAAGAGTGTTGGAATAGAAGAGAGAGGGATACAAGAAGGGGGTTGTACCCTCCACAGTAGAATCCAGTAACACCTACTGAGCGTACAATTATATATATATAATATATAGTTTAACTCGCCCCCTAGGCTTGGTAGCCAAATGCAGACCACACACACAGCACACTAAGCCACACACCCCCTAAGCCTAGCACCCCCATACTCAACAACAGCGACGGCTTCTCCAGCATGGTTAACCCCTCGGCGTGTGAGGCGGCGACGTCGGCAGTGAGGACAGCGGCTGCAACGGCGGCGACGGCAGTAGCGGCGACAGCGGCGGCGGCGTGCGACGGTGAGGCCAGCTACACTAGCTGCGGCGGCGGCGGCTTCGACTACATCGGCGGCGGCGACGGAGCTCGCTGCACTCGGCGGCGTGGCCTGACTCCGCGACGGTGGGCAAGTCCGCGCGAGTCCGCTGTCAGCTGCGGCGATGAAGAGGGGACGCAGGGGAAGGGGGCAGGGCTTCAGCAGCGGAGCCAGGGAGCGTGCTGGCTGCATGCGGTCGTACTAGCAAGCGTTAAGACCGGGCGCTGGCCGCTGCCGTCCGTGCGCTGGCGCGTCGACGCCGCCACGGCAGCATGACGACGCCGTCACTGCAGCACGACATTGCCGTGGCGGCGGCGCGGAATGGACAGGAGGGAGGAGAGAACGTTGCGGAAGCGTGATGAGCAGGCCCGAGTAGAAGGACCTGCTCTGAAACCATGTTAAAGTACAAATGAAGGAGAGGAGCCATGAAAATGGCGAGAGGTTTTAGGAGGTAGGAGAAAATGTCGAGAGAGAAGAGTGTTGGACTAGAAGAGAGGGATACAAGAAAGGGGTTGTACCCTCTACAGTAGAATCCAGTTACACCTACCAAGCCTACAAATATATATAAAATATATATAATTTAATATGTCATGCCCTTTCTTTGTTATGACTGAGAAATATGAGTTCTCAAAATAACGAATTAAGCTAGGCAACCAATGGAAGACCTAGGTTTCTAGCTAGTAGACCCTTAGATTGAAGACCTATGATATCTCACTCCTTCACCTCTCTGGGTGTACGCCCAAAATGAAGTACACCGAAATGAGGTACACTCCAGAAGAATTGGATTCTACGATAGCGCGTATGTTATTCAGGAATTCCGAATCTTTGCCGCCAACGAGGCCCCAATCTCGTCCCTAGGTTTATCGCCTGCTTCGCCTCGGTTTCAGTTTTGCTGTCATTCAGCCACCTTCGATTTGCTCGAGCCAACAACACCCATCCTCGGTGCCGCTCACCTCACCACCACCACCACCCCTTCTATCCTGTCTTCAGTTTCCTGCATGCGCTTCCTCTTTGCATGTTAACTCAGTAGCAAGGCTGCCAACGCGTTCCTTGCCTATCGTTTTCCTCTTCAGTTTCCCACCCTCGGCTTTCGAGCCTTTGCCTTCTAAAATTATTCAAGGCACTTCCGTCTTTTCGCGAGGGCCTGCAATGGACGGTATCTTATCGAACGGCAACGGCAGTGTGGAAGGGCGGGCGAGGAAGCAGGGTCCAACGGGCGAGCTAGCGGCGGTAGAGAGCCTAGCGGACGGGCTGACAGGCGCGCGGTTGGGGGGCGCTCTCGATCACGCGGACTCGGCGGACGCGGAGGAGCGGCGGGTGCTGCCGCCGACCGACCCGATGGTGACGTCACTGCTGACGGATATGTACCAGCTGACCATGGCGTACGCGTACTGGAAGGCGCAGAAGCACAACGACCACGCCGTGTACGCGTTCTCCCGCCCTCGCCCCGCTCCCGCGCGCCCACCTCACCTGCTCCCATCATCCCGCCGACCCATTCGCATCCCACCGCGCCTCGCGCTGTCGCACGCGCGCACGATGCTGTGCGCTCCTTCTGCGCGCCGCGTGGCCTCCCATCTACCCTCCCCGCTGTCCCCCCTTCCCCGCGTGACACCCTCCCCCCCGTCCCCGCCGTGTCCGTGCGTGTCCGCCACTCCGCCTGCCCCAAGCAGGTTCGACCTGCTGTTCCGCAAGAACCCGTTCGGCGGGGAGTACACGCTGTTCGCGGGGCTCGAGGAGTGCGTGCGCTTCGTCGCCAACTTCCGATTCTCGCCCGCCGACGTGCAGTACCTGCGCACCATCATGCCGCCCTCGTGCGAGGTAACCCCCCGCCTCCGTCCCTTTCCTCCCGCGCACCCGCCATCAAGGCGTTGGCGTACCCACGGGCTCGGTCACCCTCTCCCCACTCCTCGTCGGTAGCTTCCTTTCTGTCTCCTTCACCTGAACCTACCCGTCTCGCCACATATCCCTTCCCCTGCTGCCCATGGCATGAGCGCGTATGTGTGTGCGGTGGGTGCGCGCATGGCAGGACGCGTTCTTCGACTACCTGCTCACGGTGGACTGCTCGTGCATCCGCATCATGGCGCTGCCCGAGGGCTACGTCGCCTTCCCCCGCGTGCCCCTCATGCGCGTCGAAGGGCCTCTACTTGTACGTTTCGTTCCTGCCTGCGCACCCCGTCATTCCCCGACCTCGCCTCTTTCACTGGCAGTAACCAGCAGCATGAAAATGGTTTCCCTTGCTCTTATCCACGCCACCACTTGCTCTCCCCTTCCCGCCTGCCGTGCTTCACTCCTTGACTGCGTGCTCTCACCTTCCTTCGCCTCCCCCCATGGCGTGCAGGTGGCGCAGCTGCTGGAGACGACGCTGCTGGTGCTCGTCAACTACGCGTCGCTCGTGGCCACCAACGCCGCCCGCCACAGGCAGGTGGCGGGGCCCAAGAAGATGCTCTTCGAATTCGGACTCAGGCGCGCCCAGGTGACCACCTCGCCGTTCTCCCACTCCCCGCACACTCACGGCCTCCCACAATCTGTTTCCTGCGCACTCAAAAAAATTGTCCTGTAAATGACAAGCAGCACATGGCAGCAGCACACGGCACGGCAGCACATGGCTGAGGGTTGGTCGCCTGCATGTTGGTGACAATGGATGCCCTCTCCGCCTGCTGTGGATGCCTTGCTCTCCCTCACCAATGTTGCAGGGCCCTGATGGTGCCGTGTCTGCATCGCGCTATTGCTTCATGGGGGGGTTCGATGCCACCAGGTGGGCTGCTGCCGCCACATGCCCCATGTGCCGTCCCTTGCCTTGCATTCCCACACACCAGAAGAGCTCATTTCAATTGCCCATCCCACCCTGTGTTTCGGCCCCTCGTCCTGGCTCGATCCCCACTTGCCCCATTCGCCAATAATCCACCCCCATCACTGTTCCCCCTACCCCCTCGCTGCGCCAGCAACGTGGAGGCGGGGCGCATATTCAGCATCCCCGTCAAGGGCACACACTCGCACGCCTTCGTCTCCTCCTTCCTCGTATGCCCTCACTCGCCTGCGCTCCTCCTGTCCTTCTCTCTGTCTCAACCTGCCGCTGCTCATATGCTTGTTAGCCTGCTGCTCTCGCCGCCCTCCTATCATGCCCTGGCCGCCCGTTCACTCACATGCGCTGCACCATCCATTCCTCTCACCAGCTGCCCATGTGCATATCACGCCCACCTCGTCTCCCCATCTCCACATCGCCCTGCCTGTGAGCCTGTGTGTGTGTGCAGACGTTGGACGAGATCAAGGAGCGGTCGCTGCCAGCAGCAGACGGCTCCCACGTGTGCCGTGACTTCGTGGCGCTCGTGCTCTCCTTCCTGCACCGCATGCAGGTCATCCCCCGTGCTGCCCCCCTTTCTGCCTCTCTTGCTGCTTTCTGACACTCATACTTCCCACAGGCCTGCACCCCACACTCCTGCTGCCCACACTCCTGCTGCCCACACTCCTGCTGCCCACACTCCTGCTGCCCACACTTCTGCCATCTGTGCAGCGCTCTTTGATGCTGCCATGTGCATGTGCTCACTACTGCTGCCATGATGCGCGTGAGCCCTGTGCTGCCGTGCCCCCGTGCAGGAGAGTGAGAAGCTGAGGGACCTTTTTGCGGAGACCAACCAGAGCGAGCTGGCTGCATTTGTCTCGTACGCCCTGGCGTTCCCCACGCATTTCCAGGCGCTCGTCGACACCTACGACGTGAGTGCAGCGCCTCCCGTGCTCCCTTGCAGCACCTCCCGTGCTCCCTTGCAGCGCCTGCCATGCGTGCACCAAGTGCTATCCTGTGCAGCACGCCCAGGTCCCTCAAGGCCAGCGCTGTGCTCTCCATACAGCAGTAGGAGTCTAGTAGGGGGGCAAACGCCCGCCATGCTCGCCTGGTGCCCATCCGGGTCTGCTGGGTTGGTGGGGGCAGCGCACTTGTTGATGCGCTGCCCTACTGGTGCGCTGGCGTTGGCACGCTTGGCTGCTTCGTGATAGCCTAGATGTATCTGACAAGTTCTTTGACCACTCATTATAGGTGTTTTCCAAAACCGCGTTTCACCGTGAGTGGGTTCCGCGCCAAACCCAACACTTGTCGTGCTTGCTTGTTCAAGCATGGTGTTGGCTTCACAGTTGCACGAGTGTTGCACATGGCTATTCAGCCCGTCACACTATTCTCTCTTGTCGTTCTCACTGTGGTCTTGCTATCGCATTGAGAGGAGAGATGAGAAAAGCAGCTGCTCCTCTGTTGGGTCTCTGGCCATGCTCATCTGCTCTCATGGCTGCCATCCTCGCCTCACCTCCCCCACCCAATAGGTGCTGCGCAGTGGCGTGCCCAACTACTGTGCCGTCGCCCTCGCTCTGCATCAACTAGGGTGGGCGCCTTCCTGCCTTGCATCGTGCTGCCTTACTCTCTTGTTCTTCCCTTCCGACCTTTTCTTTCTCGCCCCTTGTACCTCGCATTCCCCGTTCTGTCGCTTCCTATCATCCTCCTGCCGAAGCCTACTCCCCTCCGTTCTGTCTGCACACATGTCTGTACTGTGATGTGCTGTGGTGCGTGCGTGGGCTCTCCTCCTGCCTCAGGTACCGCGCGCTGGGCATTCGCCTGGACTCGGGCGACCTGGCGTACCTGTCGCAGCAGGCGCGTCTCTTCCTGCGGCAGTGCGAGGCGCTGTTCCAGGCCGAGGGGCTGAGCGCCGCCGTCATCACGGCCAGTAGCGACATCAACGAGGCCACACTGGAGGCCCTCAACAAACAGGTCAGCTCAGCTGCTCTCACACACGCTGCTGCCACGCACGCTGCTCCCACGCACGCTGCACCCACGGAACGTGGAACGTGTATCTGAAGGCTCGCCTTGCTTCCCGCTGTTCGTGTGCGCGTGCGTTTGTGCACGTGTGTGTGTGTGCGCGTGTGTTTACAGGGCCATGAGATAGACGCGTTTGGCATCGGCACGCACCTGGTGACGTGTGTGAAGCAGCCGGCGCTGGGATGTGTGTACAAGCTGGTGGAGATCAACGGCCAGCCGCGCATCAAGCTCAGCCAGGACTTCGACAAGGTGCTGGGGGGACGTGCACTGTCTGCGCCCTGGCGCACAGGCAGGAGGTGGGGTGTGGTGTGAGTGAGAGGGATGGCGTGCGGTGTGAATGAAAGGGAGGGGCTACCTGCTAGCCACTGACTACACAGCAGGCACACTCTTGTGTGGCCCTTTCTCATGCAGCGCCCATGCAGCTGCTACAGTCGTCCTCCAGTGTGTCCCTTTCTCTCCTCGCTCTATGGCTCTGTGCGTGCAGGTGACCATCCCTGGCAAGAAGTCGTGCTACCGCCTGTACGGCAGGGAGGGCTACCCTCTAGTGGACCTCCTCATGATGCCCTCTGACCTGCAGCCTCAGGTGACGTGCATGACATGAGCACAGGTTTCATGACACCCAAACAGGTGACATGTGACTCTTGTCCATGGCTCCAATCATTTCATGCTCACCGCGCACGACTACTGTGTTCTGAGTTTGCATCGCTCGCCATCCCAGTTTGTGTCAGCGCTAGCTGGCAGTACTGCTCTGGACCTGTGAGGCAGTGAGGCACTCCCTGCCCATCGTTTATAGGTTGCTCTTTGTGCTTGTTGCGGGTGTGCGGGTGCGTGCAGGTGGGCGAGCGCATACTGTGCCGGCACCCGTTCAGCCAGTCCAAGCGCGCCTTTGTGGTGCCGCACCGGGTGGAGCCGCTGTACCGCTGCTTCTGGCGTGGCAGGCAATTCAGTGAGTGTAGCCAGGCAGTGGGCTGTCAGGGCAACCATAGCCATGCAATGAGGTGCCGTTGCTGACCCACTGGCTTGCACGCCCAATTGCAAATCGCAAGTGACTGCATTCCGGGCTAGTCTGGCCGTGACCCATTCCTCACTCTCCCCCTGTGCTATCTCTTCCTCCACCTTCCCCTCCAACATTTCCCACATCCTGTGTCTTTCCCTCCCTTTCCCCCACTCCAATCCCCTGTTCTGCCACCCCTCCCGTTCCGCCCAGCACTACCGGAGGGGCAGGTGGAGGAGGAGAGTGCGGGGGTGGAGCGGCTGCCAACGCTGGTGGAGGTGAGGGAGCGCTGCAGGGAGCAGATCACAGGGCTGCGCCCGGACCACATACGAGGACTCAACCCCACGCCCTACAAGGTGATGCAACCTGCCCCCTGCAAACTGCTCCCCACTTGCTTGCATGCCCATGCATGTTCACTTGGCGGTTGGATGCGTGGGTATACCGTGTGCTTATGGGGTAGTGTAATCTGCCCGTTGACACATCCATGGTGCGTTTGTGATGGGTGTGTGGCAGATAAGTGTGACTGACCGGCTCTACAACTTCATCCAGGACTTGTGGATGACGGAAGCGCCTGTGGGCCAGCTCGTGTAATGCGCTTTCTGCATGTGTCACTCCGCTGCTACCACGCTCAAGCCGTCTGCCACCAACACGTCCCGTAGGTTCCACCGGTGACATTTACGAGCAATCCTCTTGACCTTCGTTTCGGCTGGTTTTATAGTTGCTCTTTGTATATTAGTGCGTCTGTTTAAGAATCCTTGCTGCATGAAATTTTGTGTACGTGCTACAAGTGCCTGTGGAACTAGCATAACAGGAGGATTGCACTATCGAGCGTTGGAATGTGTTAAGTGCTTGTATCTTAAAGCCAGGGTCTCAAGTACCGAGATCTGGCAGCAAGTGCAAAACAGTTGCTGCGTAGTTACTCCGTTTTGAGTGCGCGACACACCCCCTTTTGCCCCCCAAAACCATTTGCAGAACAACTTAGAGGTACTCGAGACTTCTGAGTTTCCACTGTGGTTTGGGGGCGTTTTAGGCTTGGTGATGGTGACTGAACCAAGCCCATGTTATAGTAAGGTAGGATCTAGGTAGGAGGGAATCTTAACGTAGGATTGAATGTCGAGAGAAAAGCGTACAAGGGTATAAGCCTAAGTGTTGTACCTATCAGAATTGAAAATTGAAAAATAGATAGAATGAGAGTACACAACGATATACCTCAGGGTTGTACCCTATAAGATGTTGTGATAAATGACGTTTCGCATTCCTGCAAGTTCCTTTTTCAGTGTAGTTAGCAGTATCGAGTTTCTCAGTAAGTAAACAGGTCCGAGTGCTGATGTCAGCAAAGCATCACGGGTCTCGGCATGACGTCAGCATACCGCTTCAGTTACGCTATTAGGCGTAACGAGCCGTTTCAGTCACGCGAACAGTCGCGACCCTATAGTATGACGAATAGGTCGCATAGCGCGATAGTGACGAACAGATACATTAGCGAATAGGTACTTTCCCTAGAGATATAAATCCTTGTAATGCCTTTCTATTATCAACCTTGACTTTACACAGAATTATGAGCTCAGGTTATTCAACCTTCGACTACCCACAAGTTCATGTGCTCAGGTTCACTCTGATAAGACTTCCGCTGTCTTACTAGTCTACCATTCCAGCAAAGATCCTTGGTTAAGTACTCGTGTTAGCAGATTTGATACTTAGTCTCCTGCAACACACCAGACGATTTACTTCATAAGATACTACCCTATACAGTCTATACAAACATGACAAGTACACATGTTTGACACACCCCCTAGACTGCATAGGGGAATGTCCTAAACAAGCAGCTCAGGGCGGCACTACTAGTCCAACCTCTGAGACAAGGGTTTGAGAGACCAGTCAGAAGGAGTACAGACAAGGCAAGAACAAGAGCAGGGCGGCACTACTAGTCCAGCCACTGGGAGAGGACACAAGTCCAGTCTAAGTATACATATAAAGGACAATACAAAGTCAAGGTCCTAGCAAGTAAGAGGCTACAGGAACTAGACCAAGCTGTACACAGTGCCGCTGATGATCTTTAGGCGCAAGCGCCTTCGTAAAGATATCAGCTGTGTTGGCACCTGAGGCCAAGTGTACTACGCGAGCCTGACGTCGCTGCTGTAGCTCACGCAGGAGGAAGTACCGCAGCTGAATGTGCTTCGCTCTGCCCTCGAGTCGAGGCTCCTGACACAGGAGGATCATGGCCCTGTTGTCAGCAAACAGGACTGGGGCAGAGCTAGGCCGCTCACCTAAGTCAGTGAGCAAGAAGGTCAGCCAGCGGAGCTCCTGTGCCGCCATGGCACCAGCGTAGATCTCAGCCTCACAGCTGGACTGCGCCACAGACGAGGAGCGGGTAGCTCTCCACGAGACGGCACCTGAGCCAAGGCTGAAGCAGTAGCCCTGGGTAGACCTGAGTGTCTCGGCGTCGTCTGCCCACGAAGCGTCTGTGTGTCCAGTAAGGACCACTGGCCTGCGTCCTCCTAGCACTAACCCCATGCCCGATGTACTAGCAAGATAACGCAGAACCCTCTTAGTGGCAGACCAGTGCTGCGGTCGGTGTCTGCCTGTGGCCACAAAACGAGCCAGGATGCTGAGAGGGTATGCGAGATCTGGGCGAGTGCAAGTCATCAGGTACATGAGGCAACCCACCAGCTCTGCGTAGGGGCCGCTAGGCTCTACCAACTCCTCAGACACTGGAGTGGAGAGCCTGTGGTCTACAGGCAGAGGGGTGGGTTGTGCAGAGGAGAACTGAAGGCTGAACCTCTGAAGGACCTGGCGCACCAAGTGTGACTGAGTCAGGGTGATGGTGCGCGCAGCTCTGTCCCTGGAGATCTGCAAGCCAAGGTAACGGCGCAGTTCTCCAAGGTCAGTGCAGGTGTGTCTCTTCAGCAGCTCTGCCTTCACGGAGGCCAGCGCGTCCCTGTCTGCTGTGGCAAAGACCAGGTCGTCGACGTAAACAAGGATGTAGAACGGGGTCTGGCCAGCACGAACGAAGAGTGAAGGGTCTGCGGAAGACGGAAAGAACTGCAGGTCAGCAAGTGTAGCACGGAGAGTGTCGTGCCACTCACGGGGAGCCTGGCTCAGGCCGTAGACGGGGCGTCGCAGGAGCCACTGGGTCCCAGGAGGGAAGGTGCCAGTAAAGCCCAGAGGGCGACGTAGGTAGACCTGCTCGTGTAGGCTGCCCTGAAGGTAGGCAGTGGAGAAGTCGAGGGAGTGAAGCTCGTAGTCACGCTGAGCAGCTAGGTGTAACAGAACCCGAAGAGTAGTCATCTTCGGGGTCGGAGCGAAGGTCTGGAAGAAGTCCACCCCCTCGCGCTGACTGAAGCCTCTAGCCACATAGCGCGCCTTGAAGACAGGCGGCTCTCCAGGAGGGCGCTTCACCTTGAAGAGCCAGCGGCCATCGACTACGTTCACCCCAAGCGGGGGAAATGCGTCGACGAAGGTGCCGGTGGATCTCCAAGATGCCATCTCCTGCTCCATGGCAGCTATCCACTGCGAGGCCCAGGGTCCCGAGGTCGCCTCAGCGTAAGTGCGAGGGGTCGGGATGTCGAAAGCGTCTGGGTCACCCTCAGGGACTAGCAGCATGGAATAGAGATGGGGAGCAGCCTCGGAGAGGAAAGCAAGCTCGAACTGGCGGTCCTCCAGGACGTCACTGCCAAGGGCAGGAGCACCCCCGACAGACGGAGGACAGGCAGGGTCAGAGACCAGAGCTGTAGCGTAGTCAAGGCGGCGGGTAGAGGCGAAGTCAGCGACAGCAGCGACAAGAGCGTCAAGGCACGAGACCGAAACAGACGGGTCGGTAACGAGAGAGGCAAGGACCCGAGGAACAAGGGGACGAGCGGCACGAAGGTAGTCAGACAGTGGGGGGGGGTGCAACAACAAGGGAGGACGGAGGAGGCGACGGCAGAAGGGGAGGAAGAGACGCGTGGGAACGAAGCAACAGGAGGGGCGCTACAGGTCCCAGGGAGGGCGCGACGGGGCCCAGGAGGGGCGCTACGGGGCCCAGGAGGGGCGCGACGGGGCCCAGTAGGGGCGCTACGGAGCCCAGGAGGGGCGCGACGGGGCCCAGAAGGGGCGCTACGGGGCCTAGGAGGGGCGCTACGGGGCCTGGGCGGAGCGCGACGGGGCCCAGGAGGGGCGCTAGGGGGCCTGGGAGGGGCGTGACGGGGCCTGGAGGTGCGCTACGAAGCCCAAGAGGGGCGCGACGGGGCCCAAGGAGGACGCGACGGGGCCTGGGAGGAGCGCGACGGGGCCCAGGAGGGGCGCTAGGGGGCCTGGGAGGGGCGCGACGGGGCCTGGGAGGGGCGCTACGGGGCCTGGAGGAGTGCTACAAAGCCCAGGAGGGGCGCTACGAAGCCCAGGAGGGGCGCGACGGGGCCCAAGGAGGACGCGACGGGGCCTGGGAGGAGCGCGACGGGGCCCAGGAGGGGCGCTAGGGGGGCCTGGGAGGGGCGCGACAGGGCCCAGAGAGGGGCGCGACGGGGCTAGGGTGGTTCGCGACTGGGCTAGGGGCTAGAGGGGTGAGCGGAAGCGGTAGGTGGGGAGGGATCCTACCTACGCGTGATACCATATCAGAATTGAAAATTGAATAATAGATAGAATGAGAGTACACAAGGATATACCTCAGGGTTGTACCCTCTAAGAGACTACCCTATACAGTCTATACAAACATGACAAGTAAACATGTTTGACAGTACCCTCAAAGATACGAACCTATACAGTCTATACAAACATATCCTATATATATGTTTGACACACCCCCTAGACTGCACAGGTGCGGTTCCTGATGAGAGAAACGACAATTCAGGGCGGCACTACTAGTCCAACCTTCTGAGTCAAGGGTCTAAGGACCAGTCAAACAAGTACAGACCAGTACAAGGGTAAGGCCACGGCGGCACTACTAGTCCAGCCATTGGGAGAGGCCACAAGGCTAGTCAAGAAAAAACAGAAGTATATATTGTTGTGATATAATTCATACTTAGCATTTCTGTAAATCGATTAGTTGTAGATAGTGTCGAATCTTACTGTAGAGCATAAGTCCATAGAATGACGTCAGCAAATAGCGCTCGTCATAGGACAGTCGTTTCAGTCACGCGAACAGTCGCACCTCTTCATTATCGTTTAGAGCGCATAGCGCGATAGTGACGAACAGGTACATTAGCGAATAGGTACTTTTCCTAGAACTATAAAATCCTTGTTAGGTCTTTTCATTATTAACTTTGATTATCCACAAGTTCACGTACTCAGGTTATTCAACCTTTGACCATTATCCTTTACAAGACTTCCGCTGTCTTACTAGTCTACTATTCCACTAAAGATCCTGGACTAACACTTGAGGATTTCAAGTGTTCGTATTTGCAGTTTTATACTTAGTCTTCTACAACATAGGACAAGTTATTTCATGGTATGAGAGCTATCTAGAATTACGGTAAGACTACTGTCAACAATGACTGGTCGCTGTGCCGCTGTGTCACCGTGCCACTGTGCCGCCGTGACGCTGTGCCGCCGTGGAGCTGTGCCGCTGAGGTTGCACGATGTCGGACGACGTACTTCGCCAGGCCGTGGAGGGGCACGCGATTGACTTCGCCGCTTGGCTTGTCAATCTTCGCCGACACCTTACATGTTAGCGCCAGGATGGGCACTCCCTAGCTATGTATGTTGATGGCTTGCTTCCCCGCCCCCCCGCGCCTGAGACCCTCCCTGCTGACCCCACCACTGCTGAGAGTGAGGCCTTTTCTGCTGCTGTGCTCGCTTGCGCTTTCTGGGATTCTCGTGATGCTGCAGCACAGCTCGCCATTAGTCATGCGCTTCCCCTGTCTCCGCGTCCGCACTTCACTACTGACGTGAAAGCCAAGGACTTCCTAGATACAGTAGTTGCGCGCTACTCCACACCCGCTACTTCACTGCTAGCCGCTTGATCCTCCCCATGCTATTCCCCGATCTTTCAACTTTCTCCACTGTCGCTGACCTTGCCACTCACCTCCGTGCACTAGAGACTAGCTACCACGCTGCTAGCACGGTCAGCCAGCTCACTGCCTTCCCCCGACCGTTCTGCGCTACCCTATACCTTATAGCCATGCGCCTTCCC